AGTGGCAGGATCCCGGCTCGTTGCAACCTCTGCCTCCCGGGTTCATGCCATTCTCCTGCTTCAACCTCCTGAGTAGCTGGGACTACAGGCACCCGCCACCACGCCCGGCTAATATTTTGTATCTTTAGTAGAGACGAGGTTTCACCATGTTAGCCAGGATGGTCTTGATCTCCTGACCTTGTGATCCGCCCGCCTTGGCCTCCCAAAGTGCTGGGATTACAGGCGTGAGCCACCACATGCGGCCAATTTCCTTTTTTTTCTAAGTCTGTATGGTATACTATCTTGCATATACACCTTATTTTCTTTATTCATTCATCCATTGATGAACATTAGGCTGGTTCCATATGTTACTTATTTTGAATAATGCTGAAATGGACATGGGAGTGTAGATTCTTCTTGATATGGTGATTTCTTTCTTTCTTTTTTTTTTTTTTTCTTTTTTTTGAGACGGAGTCTTGCTCTGTCCCCCAGGCTGGAGTGCGGTGGTACAAGCTGGCTCACTACAAGCTCCGCCTCCGGAGTTCACCCATTCTCCTGTCTCAGCCTCCTGAGTAACTGGGACTACAGATCCGCACCACCACGCCTGGCTAATTTGTTTGTATTTTTAGTAGAGATGGGGCTTCACCATGTTAGCCAGGATGATCGCGATCTCCTGAACTTGTGATCCACCTGCCTCAGCCTCCCAAAGTGCTGGGATTATAGGTGTGGGCCACCGCACCCGGCCAATATAGTGATTTCAATTTCTTTGGAGAAATACCCAGAAGCGGGATTGCTGGGTCATATGGTAATTCTATGTTTAGTGCTTTGAGGAACCCCCATACTCTTCTCCAAAATGGCTATACTAGTTTACATTTCCACCAATGGCACACAAGGATCTCCTTTTTTTTTATATCCTCACCAACACATATTATTTGTCTATTTGTTAAAAGCCATTCTAACAGATGATTACCTCTTTGTGATTTTAATTTGCATTTTCCTGATAATTAGTGATGTTGAGTATGTTTTCCATATATCTGCGGGCCAGGTTTACTGCCCATGTTTAAATTGAGATGTTTGTCTTCTTATTATTGAGTAGTTTGAATTCCTTAAATATTTGGGATATTAGCCCCTCATCAGATGTATGGTTTACAGATACTTTCTCCTAGTCCATGGGTCATCTCTTCACTTTATTTCCTTTCTGTGCAGAAGTTTTTTAGTTGATGTAACCTCCTTTGTCTATTTTTGCTTTTGTTGTCTTTGCTTTTGGAGTCCTGTGGTAGAAATAATTGCCCAGAGAAATGTCATAAGATTTCCCCCCATGTTTTCTTCTAGTAGATTTACAATTTCGGGTCTTTTATGCAAGTCTCTGATCCATTTTGAGGTGATTTTTGGGTATAGTGGGGGATAAATGTCCAATTTCATTCTTCTGCTTGTGGATATCTAGTTTTCCTTACACCTTCTATTGAAGAGACTGTCCTTTCCCCATTGTGTGTTCTTGCCATCTTTGTTGAAGATCAAATAATCATAAATACTTGGGTTTAGTTTTGGGCTTTCTACTCCTTTCCTTTGGTTATTGTGTCTGCTTTTATGCCAGATCATGCTGTTTTGCTTACAATAACTTTACGATACATTTTAAAATCAGAGAGCATGATACCTCTATCTTTATTATTTTTGCTCAAGATTGCTTTGGCTATTCGGTGTCATTTCTGATTTCATACCAATTTTAGTGTTTTTTTAATTTCTGTGAAAAATTGCATTGGAATTTTGATGAGGATCTACAGGTCACTTTGGGTAGTACAGACATTTTAATAATATTAATTCTTCCAATCCATGAACTCAAGATATCTTTCCATTTATTTGTGTCTTCTTCAGTTTTATTCATGAATATTTATAGTTTTTGCTGTACAGATCTTTCACTTTTTTGGTTAAATTTACTTCTAAGAATTTTATTTTTGAGTGTTATTATAAGTGAGATTGTGTGGGCTTCTAAACCTTTGTGCCAGTCCAAACTCCTGTCTTTATTCTTAGTGACTCCTACAAAATTAGAGAGTGTCAAGTCATGCTATTGCCTTGAGAGAGTGAGAGAGAAAACAGACCCTTAGAGTACAGTGGAGAGGTTGGGGTGTTTGACATGTGTTTCTGTTTTTTCTTTCTTTGCAGAGAAACTAACAGAGTGTATCTCCCACTTATTCTGCCTTATGAAAATGAGAGGATCTGAATCAGATCTGTAATATCTATAGTATTTATTTGAATTCACGAATTAACAGGGAGACTGGGAGGGACTAATTTCCTGCTCACTCAATTAATTTTGGGGTAAGAGAAGGATGAAGAGAGACTGAAGATACCAATTTCCCCAATTAATAAGGACTCTGGGTGATCAAACACATGACAGAATTCATGGAGAAAGGTTAGAACCAGAATAAAAATGTTCCAAATTGTTTCTTTAGTCATTTCTAGAGATTCAGAGAGACAATGCCAGAGAGATGTAGGCTAGGAAGCAATCATGGAATGCTATCTG